TGTGGGCGTGCGCGTGCGGGGCGGTGGGCTCTGGTGGGGCAGCGGCAGGCGCAGCGCCGTGTTGAACGTGGGCAGGTCCTCGTCGATGCACGCGGGGTTCTCGTGGCCTTGTCTCTCCAGCTCGCTCTCCTGGCACGGCTTCCCGCCCTGCTTTCTTTTTCGGTTGTTCCACCATTTCTTCGCCTTTTGCCACCGCCGCCGCATCACGATGGAGAGCGAGTCAATGAAGAAAACTTCCACGATCTCAATGACGCAGACGACTGAGCAGCTCATCCACAGGCCCAGCTGGCCACCGAAGTTGGAAAGAAGAGTGACCAGCTGGAAGAGACGGGAGCGCCAGGTTAGCGGCTGCCTCGGGAGCCCGGCGGGGCCTGCCTCACGGGAAGCCAATCCTGTGTTTATTCCAGGTAGCCTGCAGGCTACCCGCATAACTTGGGCCCAAATACTTTGAAAAGCTGCTCTGAATAAAAGACTGCAAAGGGCAGGAGGGGAAGCCCCAGGGTGCATCCTCTGTGGATGGTTTCCTGCCTCTGCCTGCGCGGGACCACTTCTGCGGCTAAAGGGAAATTTCCAGCCCGGCAGGAGGAAGAGGCACATTGTCCTGGTCCTGAGCACGTACGAATCACAGCATTTACTCACCGTGTTGGCAGGATTCTCTGAGATGAATCTCTCATTCAGGTCTTTGTAAAACACCATGAGGTTTGCTAGGTCTGTTCTGAGAGGGGAAGCAGCAGACAGGTTGAGGGTTTAGTAAAACAATAACATGAAACATACTGAAAAACTATGCAAATAACCAGTTGGACCAGTAGGGCTGGGCCGCTCTAAGGGAGCTTTTTCCCCAATTGCCATCATTAGGGCTGCTGAGATTGTATCTGGGCTTGAGGTGCAGGCTAGAAATACATAAATGGAAACTTACTTGTTTAACTTCTTGTTGTTTTTCTGCCCTTGGTCCCAAGAGAGAACTCGAAGCATCCAGTCCTGGAAGAGTTAAAGAAACTAATGTTGTGCTTGCGAGTGCTGGTGCAGACATTCCCTGGAAAGGGAGGTCACACCTCATACCCATTTAGACCAGGTTTGGCTCCAGAATGAAGTGCACGGGATGGGCAGCGAGAGGAGCCCTGGAGGTGGCGGCTCCTCACCCTGCACACGGATTCTCCGAGAGGAGCATCAGGGAGGTGCCAGCAAACCCATGGGGAGCCCCTTGCCCTGCACCGAATCCCTGCGCCCGGCCAACGGCAAGGGGCAAAGGGGCGACCGGGCGGCAGCCGGCGCTCCCGGGAGCCGAGCGAGCTGGGAACTGACCTCAGACACTATGGACGGCCACTGGGCGATGCTGGTGGTGAGGTCCCATTCCTTGAAGCTGTGGAGAGGCGGCTTGTTAGCTGTGAGCAGGAGCTCCTGCATGCTCAGCATTTTCTTTCTAGTGTTGGGCAGGACCTACCTGCAGGCATCCTTGCAAATTTGCTGACAGCCCAGCTGCTCCTTCACGAACTTTTCATGCAGTCTGTAGTAGCAGTACACTGCAGCAAGAGAACAAGGGGTGTGTGAGGAGCCAAGGAGAAGCAATACGTTTTGCTGCCTGTGCTGGACTGGGGCTGCTGGGATGTAGGTGGCCTGTGTGCCTCAGGCCTTGGCTTTCACCTACGTGCTGGGGATAAGGAGATTTCTGCTATGAACATTGCAAAATGCTCTGCGTAGTGGTTGTCGCTCGCTCTGCGCATGCAGGGTTGCCCCACACGGTCAGGCCTCCAACTCAGCACTTCTGCGAGGCGCACGCGCAGCCAGCACCGCACAAACTGCCAGGGCCAAGCTGACCGAGAGGGAAGGGCAGTTTCCAGGCTCCGGGACGGGAGGCATTAGTGGGGCCAAGGCAGATCCCCCGCTTTTCCGGGCGCGCTGCGCGCCGGAGGTGCGGATCCGACGGCAGCGCGGGGCGCAATGCCGGGGCCGGGGCTGCGCAGGGCGTTTGCTGACGGACCATGTGCAACGTGGGAGGTGCCCGGGAACTTACTCCAGTTGGGGTTTTTCTTGTAGTTGCAGTACTCTGCCCCGGCGGGTAAGGGCTGGGTGTACTGGGCACAGCCGCAGGACTCCACCATGGCCTTCTGGAAACAGGAGTGCAGGCAAATCTGCAGGGAGACAAACCGAGGGCTGGGCACCAAGAAACACACCCTGCTGCTTCTGCCTCCCCAGGCCTGTTGGGAGCTCCAAGCTCCAGACTCCCCTTCACCTAAAGCATTCTGTTTATTACTAGGAGCCAGGAGATCAAAACCTCTTTCGTTGACGACTTCGTGCTCTGTTGCCTGAAGTATAAACCAATACAAGCAGGAAGTGCCAGGGAAGCTAAAGACTGCAACACGAGAAGTAAAAGGCAACCCCCTCTGAGCGGGGGCTTCTGTGAATGCTCGTCCTTTCCTTCCTGCTCCCGTACTGTAGTCATTCTTCCTATGGCCAAGGAAAAGGCACTTCTAATCCATGAATCAACAACTAGGTGTGGGGCAGTGACTCAACAGTGAAAACGTTCTCAGGTCCAACTCATTTGTGTTGGTGCATGTTTGGAGACTGGGAATTGTTAGGATTAACAGGGCAGTGGACCTGACATTTTGTGCTAAAACGATTAATCAGTGGGAACAAGCAGGAACGATTTTTTTATTCCAGAATTTCCCATAGCCAAGCCTTTTGTTCCCAGTCTCAGCCCTCCTGAGCCATGAGATTCAGTGAACTACTTTAGTTAAAAACGTGGGATAATGTCTGTGTGATCTCACCTGGCAGTACATCACAGCAGATTTCATTCATAATACCCCATAAAATAAAAATCCACCCAGGCCCAGGATTTGGAGAAGGCAGCAGTGAGTGTAATTATGGTTCTTCGGGCGGAGGGTGCCAGAACAAGTGACACTCTCCAAGAGGACCCAATTACAGAAACCATGCAAAATTAGTGGAAACTTACTCTGTAAACATCCTGCTATCTGGATACTGATTAGATGGTATCTGTTATTCTTGGAGTCCTAAAGGTCACAATTTCTGGCTTCAAGGGTTACTAAGCTGCAACATTTACTTGGCCAATATTTTCCAGTCTCACATTGCTTGAAAATTGCCTAATGAGCTAATGTTCTCTCTTTATCTAACAGAGTGCCTAAGGGAACTTCAAACATCAACTGCTTAGGAATAAAACTTGGATTTGTAAAAGTGCTGTGGTATTTTACATTGGTGATTAAAACAGTAACCCTATGCCTGGACTGTTAACAGTCTCCAATCCTGAACTACAGATTATGGTAAAGTTTTTTATAGGAAGGTAGTTTTCGAGTGGCTAAAAAAACCCTCAAAAGCAACTGAGATTTACCTGGAGCGAGTAGCTCTTGTTGTAGAGGTTTTCCACGGGTATGTCGGCCCCAGTCTCTGTGCAGTCACTGTAGGGTTTGCTGAGCTTGCGAGATTGAGTCTGAGAATCAGAAAAGAACAAATCCTGGATTGGGATATCACAGAGGAACCAAAGGGTTTGACAGGATCGCAGTTCATTGCAATCCCAAAAGTGCACATGAAGGAGCAGCTGTGAACTGTATCTTTAACTTTTGCCATCTCAATGATTTTTGCCTATCGCTTGTCAAAACAAGAGGTCTTTTTGGTTCAATGTCCTTTTTCCCAAAACTGCTGTATCTGTCTTATCTGCTCTTTGCTGAAAACCTCTGCAGGGGTGCTGAGATTGCATAATCTAATAGCAAGGATTTTTTTGCAGCAGAGTAATTCATACGTATGCTTTCTCTCATTGCAAAGCCCCAGTGACCATGCAACATCTACTCTGTGTGAAACCATTCCATGGAGTTTTTTGGGTTTTTTTTTTTTTTTTTTTTTTTGCTGTGAAGCCCTGCACTGCTCTGAGCTGGTGCTCTACTGGCTGCTCCTGTTCTGTGGGTAAAACAGCACTTCAGGCTTCACTAGTGCTCAACAGCACCTCTCTAAAATCACTCTAAATCAAATGTTCGTATCTCCTTCAGGACCTTTTCCATGAACTGCTTTGACCCCTCCTCTCCTTGCAGCACTAACAGCTTTTCCTGCTCTGCAGTCTCTGCCTGGAGAAGGGAGTTCTGCAACGCCAGGAGCTGCGCAGAGGGTCGAGCTCCGCAGCAGGGCCCCGGCTCTGCAGAACGCACCCTCTGCAAAACAAAAAGAGTTGCCTGAAACTACAAGGAATGCCACATTTAAAAATCCATTCACTTATTCCATTCTTCCTATGCAGAGTTTAAATTAGTGCCTGATCTTGCAAAGGTTATATATAGCAGGAACCTGATAAATGCCTGCATACATTTAGGACGGTGCTTATAGACCTAGGGGCTATTGGGGGTCAAAGCTGATAGCAAGAATTACCATTTTTATCTGCAAAGCACTGAACAACTACAGCACTGTAGAAATGCAAATCTTTATAATTATGGCTTTGGCGATAGAAGGTATGGAATAGATGGTGCAAGCCAGTTCTTTCAGAAAGAGGCTAAAATCACTGAAAAATAAGTGATATCAACATGAGAGATGGGGGAACTTCTGAAAAATGAAACCAGCTTTTGTTATTAACTTCTGCGGGCAAGGTAACACTGGGCTACCTGCCTCAGAGAGCCGGCTGCCCTATCTTCTGGCAGGTGACAGACCCTTTGCATAGTTTATTTTGTCATGGCATATGTTCCTGCAAAAACATACCTGTTCATTCAGGTACTGAAATAATTTCCAACCTAAATATTTAGCTAAAGCACTGAAACTCCCACCAAGTAAAGCCTTGTTTGCATTCCAGACATCTTGGAATATTTTTGGAGCAGGAAGGGCGTTCTTGCACACAGCAGAAATACATGAGCAATGACCTACACACTGGTGCTTGCACCTGAAAACAGGAATTGCCGTGTTCGAGCTTCCCGAGTGCAGGGCTGTGTGCGGCCCGTGTCCGGTGCCTCTGCACGTGTCTGGGCGCAGGGACAGACGGGCGCTCCTGGCTGTGCAGCCCTGTCCCGAACCCTCCCGAGGGCCGTGTGTGCCGCCCAGGATCTGCCCTCCCAGGAAAACCGGCAGCCTTGATTGGCAATGTAAACAATCTGAAATTAGATCCTGAGACTATCTGCACTGACTCTCTACTGTCTGCTGAAACACACTTCGATGAGACTTTGACTCCTCTCCAGGTTTTTTACGTTCTGATACCTTTTATTCACTTTTCGTTTGTCAGGTACCATTTATACCTGCTGGTAGACTCAGCAGTGGGTGCTGCAATTTTCCAGACAGATGGAAGGTATTTAGCTGTTTGCAAATTTCAAACCGGCAGCCTTGTTTTTAATGCCCTTTCTGATGCATGGACTATCTAGACCTGGCACACCCAGCCGGGGACAGATAAGCAAATTAGCTGATGCATCTGATCCAACCATCAGAGAAGAAAAGCCAAAACTCAATCGCTCACTTTACAGCCCATCCAGATGAAAGGGGAGCTCCGCGGGCCCTGATGGCGCTGCTTTCACTGCGCCCCTCGGGTCAAACGCACGGGCACCTCTAACCCCTGCCCGGACAGCGAGCACCATTCCGGGCCGAGCCGGGGCAGCGCCGCGGGCCGGACCGGCACCTCCGTGACCCAGAGCCGCGCGGGGCAACGGGGCGGCGCGCAGCACCCCCGGGCTGCAGATACTCAAAACAGGAGCCTCAGAAGGACCACAAGGGAGGAGAACAGGGAGAGGAAACAACATCCCCCGTAGCGTTTTTTGTTTTCCAAAGAGCCGGTTTTCCAGCAGTCCTACAGCAAGGGAAAACGGCTCAGGAAAGGGCTGCCCCAGGATGCTCCTCAGGGCACCTCGGAGGCACAAATGCGAGGTAGTAGATGCTACCCCAGCTCCGGGCTAGGGCTCGTGCGTTGTGCAGACCGTATTTACATCTGCTTCATGCAAACGGTGCTGTGCACCTGAAACAAGTTCACCGCCACTCACAAAGTGCATCCCTATGGAGGTGGCCGCCGCTGTCTCGATTTCTGTGCCGATGTCTTCAATGAAGGGATACTCGTTCTGGTCGTGGACCATGATCTTGGCCCCGCTTGACGTCACCAGGAAAGGGTTGTAGTCTGCTTCATCTATATATAGAACAACGTGCAGTCCTGAGGAGCAGAGGCACGGCAGGAGCAGGGTTACACCACACAGCTTTTCTAGACCGGGAGGGCAGCACAGTTTACTTAATACTCGTTAGCCTTAAGTGGAACTGTAATATCAAGTGATGCCTTTGCAATGCTACACGGAGGCACTTGCAGCAAGTAATGTCCTTCTGCAGACCCCGGTACAACAAATAATGAAAGTCCCGTCAGAATGTAGCTGAAACTTATTTTTAAATGTTATATAAGTGGGAAGCAGTGATTTCAGATGGAAAACATTAGTGATGCAATGATATTATCTTTGTATTCTCTGGCAATAATTTGCACTAGTTCAAACAAGCATCTCCCCAATCAGGTCGGACATCTAGAGCCAACACATCAATCACCCTCCAGCAGGATCCAGTTCGCTGCACCG